CCTTCTTGCAATCATGGCCCCTGGTTGGACATTTTTGATGCTCTCTGTGAGCATAGTATTCTTATGGGCTTTGGCCTATGGCAATTGAAGTTAAATGACAATCACCATCCTCCATCCTCCTCCAGGAAATTGTGGGACGACTGGCGTGTTTCATTTGTCCAACACGTTTCTAATACTGAATCTAAGGGAGTGACTATGCCACTCCTGGGATAAGATGATCTGGTTGAGATGGCGTGCTGCCAAGGTGATTCGAATCAACTCTTCATCAGTCAGTTGTTCGCATCCTCCATCAACACCGCATTTCACACAGGCGTAATTGTGGCAGCATGTATGTTTCTTCCAGACCACATCCAGGATCGTGAGCTGCGAAAAAGAGCGTGGAGTTGTGTCTGGCTGGGCTGGAACAATCCAGAAGTGAGTTGGGAGTCGCACAGTTAAAAGTCTTGGAAAGACTGGGTTTACTTTATTTGAGTTTCAACATGACGGTGGCTCAGGTAGTTGGCGTCCTTCCATTATAGCATGTGCCCGTTTGTGTTGCCATTGTTTTGCACTTTGGATGTGGATAAGCTCCCATTGATTCTCTGCATTGACCGACAATCCGCAGACACCAGTCTCTTCTGAATCAAAGAGAAGGACATGTAACTCCAAGAAAAGCATGCAAACTCTCCGTAGAGCTACTCAGACATATTTTACTCTGATTGGCAGAACATGATGGGCAAAACTTCTTTTCTCCATTTTGTTTGAGACCTCTCAGCCTCTCAGGCCTGAAGGATGTCGCCTTTGGGAGTGTTTTTGTTGGCTTGAATATGATTCATTCAGCACGTGCTGCACGACCCACAAAGAAAGGTCATACCTTGCCAATGACAGCGTAGATCTGGCTATGGCAACATAGGACAGCTTCTCGCATGGACGGTTCACCGCCACTGTGCGGACCCTAGGAAGTCTGTTTTAGATGCATCTCAAAAATAGGGCAACCAACACAGCATTTTCTACACATATTTTCTTCCTCCCAGGCTTTGGCTCCTTGTTACAGAGATGAAATGAGGCCCTTTTCCATCACGTCCCATGCTTCGCCAACATCATCACCGACCAAGAGCTCAGGCCAAGAGCTCAGGCACTTTGAACGCAAAAGACATCAAAAGACCACAAAAAGCAACAGGTCCATCCCAAAAGAGCCAATAAAGCCCGCTCCTACTTAATTAAGTAGGCGCCTACTTGATTAAGTAAGGGAGTAAGCTTCTAGGTAGGACACAGGACAGCTCACGCGTCTTCAAGGAAGCTCCCCCCGCCTGAGGGCCGGGGGGAGCTTCCTTGAAGAAGCGCTCACACTAATCACTAATCATTTGGTTCCTAGATTTTTAGGGACACTTAACTTTGTACCTCAGAGCAGCGCCATACATGCCATGCGGCGCCCAACTTATTCGGCCCAGGTGCCTTCCGAGCCACGACACATTCCGCGCCTTCCAAACTGATGGATGGGCAACTCACGTTGCTCAGGACGGTGAATGACAACTTGGTCATGCGAAAGAAAACAATGAACACCAGACTTGAACAGTTTGAGAATTGATTTTGAGATTTTGGGGCGGAGTTGACATTCACAGAAACCACAAGTTGATACGCGTGTTTGCTAGGGCCTAGGGCCTAGGAGCCCTATTAAAGGGGTCCTTACCCTTCTTTTACTATTTAGCGATTCCGATGCTGCTTGGAGGAAGACCATGCGCGAGAGGAGGGGCTCCAGCCGTCAGTGCGGGCTGAGCCCCTTGCCACCTTCCCCGCAAGAGACCAAGTTGAACAGTGCAGGTTGTGCTAAGTTTCTCTCGCTCCCTCTCGTCTCCCCGCTTAGGTGAGACCGCACTGCAAAATCTGGATCCAGTCTGCACTGACATAATTCTTTGATACTCTTTCTTTAACTCCATGGCCCTACTTTTGACCGGGTAGCCAAGCTGCACTGCCAATTCTGAATATTCCCGTACTTGGAGCACGGCTTCACCATCACTTTTGATACTTCAGAGCAAGGAGAGCAACCTGTTTGTTTGAGCCAAAATAATGTTTTCACTATTCACGGTTAACGCTCTTCTAGCTCAACTCGAGTTTCCAACATCAATGGATTAGTCTCAAGGACAGGGCGCATGTTTATGCCAGGTGAGCCAGGATGCTTCACAAAATTGCGAGATCAAGTGATACAATGAGATGCAATATACTGTAATTTTCTACGGAGCAATACCTTTATACAGTGTGAGTCATCTCAACGATGGGTCTCAGCCGACCTCAGTCCATTGGATTTGCCCGAGGCCTCGTAGTCCTTCAGCGCTGAACCGGGGACTCTCTTGTCCGCCACAGTGACTTGGCTGAGTCACTCTTGCAGCTGCCGCGTGAAGGTTCTAGATTGTTCTGGGACTCAAGGTTGTAGTAGTGGTCTTGCTGAATAGGGGCAATGTCCTCGTCCCTATGGCTGAGATTGCAGGGTGCTTTGGTTGGGAGCATCGTCGGCCTGTTTGGAACTTTCTGCCAAGCTGCCTTTATATTATGGCGTGTTTTGGGCACAAAGTTCAATGATGCGTCCAAGAGCGGTGGTCACGCGAACCCACTCCATTTCTGGAATCGGACTTCGTTGCTTGTGTGTGCCAGCAGCCGACCTTGAATTCAACTGGGCGCTACTCCTAACAAGGGCATTGCTAGAGCTGCAAGGGGCCACCAGAAGACATTGATACTGTAGCAGATGATGATGTGAAACATCGTGAGTGTGCCTTAGTCCTTGCTGTACTGCTTCTGTGCCACAGTTGTGCCACTCCCTGTAGCCACGGTCTTGCCCCCCTGAAAGTTCGCCTCCCCCGGCAGATTTCTTCAGCTTCGATCTTAGGCCCATAAACACACGTTCCGCCTCGTTAGAGCCTCAGCTTAGGGCTTGAGAAGATCTGGAGATCCGTCAAAAAACTGGAGATTCCTGCTTTAGGGAAGTCAACATTTGCAAGTTCCCATGAGTCAGGCAATTCAAGTCCGATCAGGTATGGCTGCTAGATGCGGTGCTGAATCATGTGTTGATGTGAGGACACCAGAGTAAAAGAGTTTAGCCATGCAAATCTCAACCACTCTGCAAATCACAGTGTTTGCTTGCAACTGCACAAGATCGAT